ATACATTAGGCTGAGTTTGGCAATGCATACTGGGAACATTGTATGGTACGTGGTAAGCAAGATATTGATTAATTAATTAAAGCATTGTATTAATGTTTAACAATTCATTTCATCCATGCTGTTCACTCATAGCAATACAACAACATTGTCTGCTATAATAACCACACTCAGCTAGAAAACACAACATATGCTCATATCAATCAAAAATACATTCTGTATTAAATAGATGAATAATCATTGTTCTGGAAACAACTGTGTACAACCAGAAGTAACCAACTTTTATTGCAAGCGCACAACGTCTTCTATTGAGTTGATCACGGACTGCCCTCTAGAGCTGATGACCAACATTTTCTAGCATGACTGGACTATAGAGGGCAGTCTCAACATGTTCCATACCAGCTGAATGTATGTTGAATGTTTCTTGGCCAAGTGAGTAGATTTGTGGCAATACCATATATTTACATCTCACTGTTCATACTGTACATAGACATCTTAGGTTCACAACCACAGTTATCAGCATTGAAATGTGAATTACTGTACAATAGGCGTGTCAATATTGTTGGTTACCAGAAATAATCTTCAAGATTCATATATATATATCTACATATTTTGGAAATCAGTACGGTGGTGTACTCCTTACACGCTGTCCAACTCTTCTAAGAGGTGCTGGTATCCTGAAATGCAGAACAACTTAAAACATTGCATGTTCTGATTGTAGAGGCATGCCTTCTTTGTACAGCAAATAATAGGCTTCAGGTGTCATAATGTAATTCACTCTACATTATTACAATCCAAAAATCCTGACTAATTTGAATAAATGCATTTTAAATGAAGTATCCACATGTCTGGTCTGTCTGTACAGGTGTCCACATGTCTGGTCTGTCTGTACAGGTGTCCACATGTCTGGTCTGTCTGTACAGGTGTCCACATGTTTGGTCTGTCTGTACAGGTGTCCACATGTCTGGTCTGTCTGTACAGGTGTCCACATGTTTGGTCTGTCTGTACAGGTGTCCACATGTCTGGTCTGTTCATACATGAAGTGTCCACATGTCTGGTATGTTCATACATGAGGTGTCCACATGTCTGGTCTGTTTGTACATGAGGTGTCCAAATGTCTGGTCTGTTCATACATGGTGTCCACATGTCTGGTCCATTCATACATGAGGTGTCCACATGTCTAGTCTGTTCATACATGAAGTGTCCACATGTCTGGTCTGTTCATACATGAAGTGTCCACATGTCTGGTCTGTTTGTACATGAGGTGTCCACATGTCTGTTCTGTTTGTAA